GTAATTTTATTCACAAGAGATACACTGTAATCCAAACAAAACGAGTAGAATAGCCAACATCAATATCTACAAAATATTTCAAAAGAGGAAGATAAAAAATATGTAGAAAATATTCAAATAAGCATCATCTAATTTTTTATAACTAAAACTTCTTAAAATCATGTAGAAAAGAGTAAAGTTGGATGCAATGGGCCAGTAAAGCAAATGTTCAATAACAAGGAAAAAAACGTCCCAGGCGTATCTCAAACTATATAAAACAGTTTTGGACACCAAGTAAAGCAGTGCTCAATCGAAAAATAAAGGCATCAAATCCACAGAATAAATTGTATCATAGAGAACACCAACAACCTGCTTGAGTGCTTGTTTCCATGCTAGTACAGACCGCATGTCACAAGCTCAAAGCAAAACTCTTTCCTCCCTGTCTACACATGGCATTATAACCATGAGCATCTCCCTCATCATAAAACCACTTCTCAATGCAAATATGAAAATAGCTACATAATGATCCTATGAACAGCTACAGACTGAAACCCTGCTATCTTTTCGTCAGATGTACGATTATGATACAAAAGTCAAAATCTTCCTAGAAAACAGTAACCCAATAAACCATCATACCTTCAAATTAAAAGATCTATTACAAATTCACCTACTAGTTCGTTAACTATATCATCCCCAATTTGTACACCAGTCTCAAATGACTCGGTCTCAAAGTTGGTCCACATCCCATTTGAATGGCTTATATCATTCTCAACTATGTCATCCATCATCTTTCCCCTCGAACTATTCCATCTTTCAGTCTCGTCGCGTATCACTCTTGACAGCCTTTCTCCTCTCATTAACAGAGAAAGGTTTGATCCTGGACGATAGAAGCAGATAAATTGAGAATCCAAGCATTCTATTATGCAGTCAATGAGGAGATCTCTAAGTTGCTTCCCATCTTTACAATCTGTCACCTTGAGATCCTTTGCAATGGCTTCTAAAGTATCATAAATGAAGGAATCCTTTGCATTTGAACTGGGCAAAGAAATGTTCTCAATAAGAAGTTTAGCGTTGGATTTGGCCTCTGTAGAGGAGCTGGGCTTACTCTCTGAGAACCATATATCATGGAGATCGAAGGAATCTTTGATGACTGAGTTTTTCTCAAGAAAATCAAACTTCTCAACATCAAAAGAGGAGGCAGAATCTAGAATTTCAGTATCCTCTAGAAGTTCAGTATCCTCTAGTGACGGAATATTGTTGCAAGTCCCACTGGAACCGAAATCCGGTTTGTGCCCTGAAATTTTAGTAAGAACACAAGTGAAATAAAATTATTTTAAACAGAAATGGTAGACAGCAAATCTAAAGCTTAAAATGCATGGAAGAATTGGAGATACCACAAAAAACAGCGTAGTCATGAAAACCCAAAAAGATTACAAAATACCCTAGTCCTTCCTATGCTCTAGTCTCCCTCACTTTCGTTACTGATGATAGAAGAGGAAGAAAAATTTCAGTCGTACTCGTAAAAAGCCACATTGTTATCTCGTATTTAACTAAACAAGAAAAGGGGGAAATTATATGAGTTTATATTTTACAAATGTACCAGCTAAGCAGAGGGAATCCACTCAATCGATTAAAGAGGCGTCTAGGCATGGAAACGGGTTGAGTTAGGGTCAATACCTACAAGATCAAATTGAGATCCAACCAGCTAAAAAAATGTAGGACAGGTTTGATAATTTAAACTCAATAGTGAATTAGATTAGAATCTAAATTTTCACTTATCTAAGATCAAACATTTTTCCTTGAATGTGCCAATTTCTATTAATAATTGATAAACATTATGTTTTTCTTGTTGGGGAAAATTTGTGCCTAACTGGGAGTTAATGAGCCTAAATAGAGGCTAAGAACCAAATTAACCCAAAAGGTTAAACTGTTAGTTATTGACCCCAACTCCTATTTAAACTCATAACTCTTTCTTTAACTTTTTCTGATGTGGGACTATACTCACACATGAATATCCAAACAATCTCCATCTTCATTTGTGAGTGTAACTCCATGACCCACGGGAACCATGGACCGTTTGCTGACTTGGTCTAAACCATTGCTAACAATAATTTCCTCTTCAAGTTACTTGAAAGCATCTCTGCTAACTCTGTGGTTAGATGTATCAAAATAAAGTAGAATCAACAACCAAAAACTTTTGGAATTGGTTAAAAGGATGCAGGAAGCTTGGCATTCAGACTAGTTCTATGAAGTGGGTATTATTTCCCAAAAAACAAGATAAAAGAAATAGAAGTCTATATTGAACCTAGAAGAACTAATAACCATGCTGAGGTCTCTGCTTGTTTAGAAAGAGTATATTAAGCAAGAAAAAAACTCATGAAGCATGTGTTCGAGCATAATGTAAGTAGAGAAATAGTTGCAGAGAGATAGTAGTATTGCATACCTGAGCTGCCATTGGGACTCCCAGAGAAGCAACTGTCATTTGAGAAAGAGACATCGAGGATCGACACAGGGCTTGGATGATCACTACTAACAGTATATGCAGAAGAAATATTTACGTCTTCTTCAGCCTAAAGAGTAAAGAAACATGAGATCAGAGAGAAAAAAACGAATGCCTTAGTCCCAAGTATTTTCGTAGTGTCCAGAAAGTAGTAGAGTATCAGTAAATAAGAACATGCTAATGACCAAACAAAAAATAAGCTAAGTGAAGGAATAATGACAAAGATGCATAAATATGCATAATCCTTGTATATGCCTAAAATTATCTAATAAAACATGAAGAGATCATTCAAAACAATATTTTAACATTTTAGTCCAAGGATGATCACTACTAACAGTATATGCAGAAGAAATATTGACGTCTCCTTCAGTCTCTTCCGCTTTGTCAATCTTCCTCAATCCTCATAAATGTCAAAGAGGTAAAAAAGTTTGTTTGGTCAAGGAGCAAGACAAACTGTAAAATCATGGAATTATTGGAAAATATCAAGGTGTCAAGCTAACTTCTACATATTAACACGTTGAAATCTAAGAATTAAGAAATTGAACAGACTATATGTTGCATTTGAGAACTCCATGAGACGATATATTCCAGGATGGAAAAAGGATCAAGAGAGACCCGTGGTTGAGGATATGGCAACAAGAAAAGTATTCATTGGAGGAGTTGATCAGGTAATGTGGTGAACCTATCAACTTAAGGTGTAGCTGCAACAACAAAGACTAATAGCACAACTCATGTAAGATCTTCGACCTTCATTTGAAGATTAACACACATGTTAACCAAGTAAATATAAATATTCCTTCCACATTGACATATATTGGGCTTTTAGATACCTAAACAGAAGGGTGAATACAATACAATGAAGATCAATATACTTCACATTGGCATGCATGCTTGCTTTCATGGCTATGCATTAAAGCAAGTATATGAGGATAATAACACAATTTTCGGTTCACTATGCCTAGATATAAGTGCAATTCCACATAGGTAATCTTCTAATCTTACCTCTTCACCAAGACTATCTCCCCACCCCAATCTAGATAATTATTTCATTTGAAATTCCACATTCAAGGAATGAAAATACTAGTCAACTTGCTTAACCTGCCAAGGAATTCAAGAGTTTGTGTCCCCTCTTATTCATAATTTTCCTTGGCCAGGGATTTGGCAGTACTCAGATGGTTACATTCGATTGACGGCAGTAGTTATAAACTTTGCCAGTTCTTTTTTCAAGCTCTTGTCATCATGTCACCCCCTTTTTATTAGAAGACACTTGATGACTATGATGATAACATAATTGAAAGCTCAAATTACACATCGTATTTCTTCAACTCCACGGAATCCCCATTCATGGACTCAGCTCACTCATGAAACTAAGGTGATAATCACTAACATGATAGTCTGAGTTCAAGTTTTTATGCGTATTTAAAAATGGAAATAACAACCTGTTTAGCAAGTAACTCCTGACAACTTCAAATATTACTAGAAGGCATGGAGCTGTTGCTCTAAAAACATAAATTACATGTATTGAATTGTTTGTGGGAGTTGGATTTCGTATCATCTAACTTTCGAAGCAACAAGAGATGATGGAAGTGAGTGTGTATATTCACATAATTTGTTTAAATTGTATGCTCTGAATGATCTAACAGCAAGCAACAACAGATTGGCAGGAAATAATATATTTAAGAAACAATTAAGTATACCGGCGATAATAGCAACTTAATCCAAATATGAAAAACTTGGTCAATAATTTGATTCTGGTGTACTTAATCATGCTCATATAACCAGAAGGCCTGGCATCCATCCAAGTTTAAGTGGGTTGGTATGACATACATACGAGAGAGATTGAGATTTTAGTCTTAGAAGGCTTATATGTTTGGACTCATGACTCAAAGTCCATGTGTTTCCAAGACATATTAAGCTCATCTCCGTTAGTGGGGTTTTGCTCTCGAAACACATATGTCATGTGAAATTCAGCATAAACCCAATATTTTATCACCAATCCACGTACCATCAGCAGTAAGGAGAAAGACTGGTCTACATGCATGATGTATTCAATTGAAACTATAGTAAACTGTACACTACAAGAACCAGGAAAAGCGTATGAACTACTAGTCTACTAGCAAAAGTAGAAGAAAATAAAATGAAACCTATGATTATCAGCTTCTAGAATAATTGACCTGAGATTTTTCATTTGTTTTAACCATATCACCATCTGAGACAATGCGATCAGAGGTATCTGTGAAGCCACAAGACAAAGCATCTTCTTGTTTGAACGTAAGTGCTGAAATCAGCTCCCCAAGAATGGAAGCAGTGCATCTCTCTTCAGAAGCATTTCCAGGTAGAAATTCATCGCAATCCAGAGAATTTAACTCTTCAATTTTTCGCTCTAAAAGTGTACTTAGTGAGTCTCCACACAAGGTCTCCTCTTTTTGAGATGCCATGCTATGAACCGTTGTTTCTGTTGATACCAACTTTTTAGGAAGAGAAGCATTATAACTAGGTTTACCTTTGCATCTCCTTTTATCTTCTATGTTATTTGAACTTGACCTACGAGCATGTTTCATTGGTGAATTGAATGTGAAAGAAACGATAGCATTTCCTTCAAAGCTACTGGCACCATTACCGTCCACACGTCTTTTAAATTCACTCTTGACAGAATTGAGATTTGTAGAATTGTTACCAATTATCCCTTTTCCTTTTACCAAGCTGCCCCTTGCACTTTGTTGCTTGTTAATGGTAAAATTCACTACCTTACCACTTTCAGACAGCGAATCATCATTCGGCCTTCTTTTATGAGCTTTGTTCTTCCTCTCCAATCGATTTTGATCTATTCCCAATCTTTCTCTGCCTAATTTACTGACAAGTGTAGTTGAATGCTTGCAGCTACTCAAACCACTATCAGAGGGAACAAAATCTCGTCTATTTGATTTTGCATTATGCACGCTTGGCCCACAAGCCAACTTACCTCTAACTGGAGGCAAAGCATTTTGCCTAAAAATATTCCTATCATGCTCATCCTGCATGCATTTAGGTTGAACATCAATAGATTTTGGCTTATCTTTGCCAAGTGGGAGGACCAACGATCTCTTTGATTCTAACCGATCTTGGCTGAAAGGGGACAATAATGTTCTCTTCTCAAGAGGTTTCATCTTGTTCTCTGAGTCCTTAGTTTCGCTCAAACTAGTAAAGCTCCTAGAAGAACTCACAAAAGGATCATTCGACGATATTTTGTACTTTTTCATAAAGACCCCATCTTTAGATACTTTTTCATCAGACTGTGAAGAACAACCCGTACTATAGGTGAGAGTACACTTGGCATGATTTCTTCGGGACTGCAATCCTGGTTCCAAAATCCTAGTCGCAGCCTCCATTAGTCGATTTGAGCCTCTCTTTGAAAGAAGCCTCGGGCTTTTCACAGGTGAAGCGAGTTTGTGATGATACTGTCTCCTTGCTCTTCTGTTGGAATTTACAGTTTCCGAAGAGGAACTAAAAGGTTTCTGCTGCCTCTCCATGAATCCTCCTGTTCTTTGAAGCTTCTGAGGTCTTGTATCTTTCACTTCAGAAGTTTCGTATCGGCCACTACCAAAATCTGATGCCAGTGAAGGCTTGCTAGGTTTCTTATGGTGGACAATTGGCATGGATTCGAGACCCATTAGTTTGGCTATTGGGCCAGGATCTTGCATTTGATTACTCTGAAAATTCTGCTTCTGAGAGATCGGGAAGCTTTCGAGGTTGTCGTCAGTAACCTATAATTAAAAGAAGCCGCATAAAAATCATTAAAGCAATTGTTACAATAACAGGTTTGATTTTTAACTTAATGCAGGCAAAAGAATGGAAAATTGGACTTTCAATAGAATCAAGTTCTCATCAATCCACATTTTGAAAACCTATAGGAAAATGAAAACAATATATCAAGAAAAATGCATATATTGTATTTGTCAGGAAAAATAACAGGAATGCACAAATACAGGGTGTCTGCTAGTCTCCATGACTCTGAGATTGCTAAATCAGCAAATAAGATGAAAAAACAAGTGAACAAGTTTATCACACTTATTAGTTCTGCATTAAAGCAATTAGATTAAAAAATGGGCTAAATCTGGAGGGGAAAACAATAAGGAAGTCCTCTGAACTACAACAAAAAGGTTCATTTATGAGTTATATAACTCATGATTTTGATCAGCAACCTAACAATTAAAAACCATATATCAATATCAGTTAAAAATAAAAAATAGAACCCCTGGAAACAAGTAGAGGCAATTAATACTCATAAAGAGAAAAAAATAGAAACCATTTCAGTCCAATCTAAAATAAGAGACCCATTTGTCTACAGAAATTTTTATAAAAAAACAGCAGAGCCTGAAGAAATTACCAGAAACTGCTTAAGCCTGGGCATCTTCTCATCCCCACCAAATTTCTTCGAGCCTATCAAAAACGAAAACAAAGATCAAAACTTTCCTCATTTTTCTCACTCAAAATCAAAGAACAACAAAAGGGTCAGTCTCAAATTAGCACCTGAAGGTAGCAGAAGCTTGTTACTCGAGAAAAGCTTCTTCTTTTTGTTAGAGAGCATTTTGTTCCAATCAAAAAAATGGAAGAAAACACTCCCCAATCCTTTCCCCTTCGTGGGTTTCTTCTCAGTAATCGCCATCCTCGAACCCATCTCAGTTTCAATCAATCAGTTGCTCACAGAAGCTGCATTTTCATGAAAAGGGCATTTTGGGGAGAGCTGTTATAAGAAATGGGTTGCCATGTTTTGAAGCAAAATTTGAAAGGATAGAAAAAAACAAAGCAAATGAGCATAGAAAGGAGAGTGCGGTGTCGACGGGGATCTCTCGCTTCAGAGTAAAGCGACCTCTGCTTGTGAAATTTTCACCTCTCTCTCTCTCTCTCTCTCTGTGTGTGTGTGTGAGTCCTTGATTTTCTGTTTTGTTTTGTATCGAGGCAGAAGACTGGGGTCAGTCAGAAAAGCTGGGGAGAGAGACAAATGGAAGTGTGTTATTAATTTTTTTTATTAATTATTTAATGTTATAAGATTTTATGCATTTGTTTATTGGCTAAATATCAGAACAAGTATCTAGTGAAAATAGTTTATCCAAATATGTGCTAAATGAGTGTTAATCGGATTATTAGATCTTGAGATTTGTACATGGGTCAATTGGTTAATATTTTTTTGATGCGCATCTAATGTCATGAATCTATTACATATTTTCTCTGAGAAAACCCCCATAACATTAATGAATGGTTATGAAAAAGTTCCAAGACTTTTAAAATATTAAGAAGGTCTGGGGTTATTAGAAAACTCCCAACTTTAGGGTGTGTTTGGCGATAATTCAAAAGTATTAATCCAATTTAATTCTAAATCGGTTCAAAATTGAACGGAATTGGTGGTGGTCCGACAAAAAAACTTAGTTTAGGAGCCTCTTTTGGGCCTAAAGAAAAATGGGTCATTGTTTTCTCAGTTTTGCCAAACTAAAGTGATCTAAAAAATGAGCTGGGATTGATCATAGCTTAGGTTAAGAGATTATAAAACACACTATAATATTTTATCAAGAAAACTCCTAAAGGCATTAATGGCAATTTTTCACAAAGGTGAATAAAATTTCACAAAGGGATGTTTTTCCGGTAAAAAATTGTAGTTCACAGTCATAGGGCAGTTCTCAGATAAAAACATTGGTTAAAGGGGGTTTTCCGATAACCGCTAAACTTAAAATGGGTTTCTGATATTTTGAAAGTTGTGGGGGTTTATGTGATATTCGTTCAATGTTAAGGTGGGGTTCCCTTATGTGATGGGATCTTTAGCCTGGTTTTATTTAATGAGAGGAGGAGCGGGGTGTTAGGATTTTAGGTTTGTCTGTGTTATAGGGTTCTTTTAGTTTTTGGCTGCTTCCTTTTTTCAAAAAAAAAAAAAAAATAGTTTTGGCGGCTTCTGTCTATGTTTTGTACTTTCTGAAATGGCACGTGAGACCAGCAAACGGGACGCATTTGGGTGGCTGGTCATGGGTGGAGCGTGTTTGCAAAAGTGTTATAAAAGAAGGGGTTTATTGATGTTGCATGAAAGCGTAACAACATTATTATCATGGCTCAAAACATATTACGTGGAATTATTTGTTCTCGCTGATTAATATTTATTGAGATTGAATGGTCCCCCAAATGGCTGAGCCACCCACATTATGCAAAGCAAACGGCTGCGGTGACGAGCTCTCACCGGAAAACTGGTCGCCGACGAGAAAAATAGCATTGTTGGTAAGTTGCATCAATTAAAATGACTTAAAGCAGGTTTACCTAATTAAAATATTTTCTTGATAAATAGGGTGGAATTAAAATATCACTATAGATATTTAGCCGAAATATGAATGACTGGAAGACGAGAACTTTAACATTTTTTCCATATAGCCAGTGATAGAACTTAACATTGATTATCATACTTATGTTTATGTTCTAGCTATTACCTTCCATAATCATTTCTATCTTCTATTGTATCACGGTGGGGACCCTACGGAAAAAAAGACAGATTCTACCCAAAAACTCTCCCCGTGAGTGCTCATGTTAGTACGTAACCATAAAATGGGTGAATATGATTAGGGCTAAGCGAACTTTGGTTTAAACCGATCAAATCGACCGAGCCTACCGCGCGCTTTTCAGTATTTGGGTTGGTTTCGAAGACAGCTCGGTCGAGATCGGGTCACAAAAAATTTAGACCTGATTACACCGAACCAACCAAACACAGCTACGGTGAACCCAGTTCTTGGACATTTATAAAGTGCACCGGTTATTATCGATTTTTAAGGTGCACCCAGTTATGATATTGAATATATAGTCACTTCTCTCTTGCCTTTTTTTTTTTTTTTGAAAAGACTCGCTTACTTTTTTGTGGAGATCACCTAATGACCCACGTCACTACTTCTTGCAATCATTACTATCAAATAATATAGCGAGAAATTAAGGATCTTAAAGGTCATAGATCTTCCGTCTACTCAGAGCAAAAAGCAAAAGGATGTGGCCTCTCTCCTTCAACAAATCATAATCACAAGAAATGTACGGAAATAAATTAAAATTTCAAGGATCTATTGGGTTTTTTTCCTATCTATATGTTTAATTTCCTTAAACCCTCTTCCGGATATGTTATATATTGTATTTGCGCCCAAGTGAGAGCTGCCGTCATCACCAATCGGTTGTGGGAATCGTACAACCGAAAACACCGATTGAACCAAACCGAAATAACTTGGTTTAATTTGTTCAGTTTTATTCTCATTATAGTTTGGTTCAGTGTGCTAAAATTTGTCTACAAGCGACAGAACCTCCCATTTGCTCACTCCTATATATGACAAGATATAACGGTGTTTTAAAACTCCCAAAGCGTTGTTTTAATGTGGAATAAGAAAGCTTGCACAAAGGATAACTAACTAGCCACAATATCAACCTAAAAGTAATATTTAGCGCAATACAAAAGCAGATTATCTTTAGGGAAAATTGCGTCTAGCCCCCAAAACGAGTCCAAGTTTCCACCCACTTCCAAGACTTTTTCAACGCTCCCAAAACCCCCAAAAGTAAACTTATAATTCTCTGAGCCACCAAAACATAAAACCCAAGAGTTTTAAACATGTGAAGACCATAATACCCTTTCTCTCTCTCTCTCTCTCCCTCTCTCAGTTTCTCTCTCATCAAATCAATGGAGATTTCAGCTAGGGAATTTTGCAGGGATCAGAAGCCTTCGTCTCCTTGAACCTCGCCTAACAGTAGCTTGAAAAGCAGCACGAGCTCTAACAATGGCAGCTCGACAAACAACATGAACCCTAACAATGGAGCTTAGCCATCAACATCCCTCCCTCCTCTAACTCCCAAATCAAACCCTAACCCTAACCCGAACCCTAATCTATACCCAACGACCTTCATCCAAGCCGACACCCAATCCTTCAAACAAGTTGTCCAAATGCTCACCGGATCCTTAACATCGAGCAGTGAAGAAAATGGCAATGAGGACGAAGTCAAAGGGCGGTAGATGAGGCTTATCGGGTTATCGAGTTTTGGATTTGTGTCGGATGGTGTATCTAACTCGGAGATGGCCGGCAATCGACAATAGAGGGTGGGGACCGCCGCTAGAGCAGGATAGTTAGAGGGATCAGGAGGGTCAAAGGGAAAAGCGGTGACGGAGGCGGCGAAGGACTGATGCCGAGCTCGCTGAGGATCATTTCGTCGTACTTGAAGACGGTCTTGTCCAACACTAGCACCGTTGTGACCACCATTAGATCAGCCGGAGCTTCGGTTGCTGCTTCGATCGCGTCCCGGGTGAGGCGAGGCTGAGGGAGACTAGGTTTTAATTTTTTGAGATTTTTAATGATAAAGTGAGTCTATTTGTTAGGATCTCTGGTTAATTATGAGAAAGGAAATTGTTGTTTGCTGTTTTGTTTGGTAAAAATTTGGAAAGTTGTGATCTTTTGTTGGTTGTTAAGGTTACGTGTTGATTGTAAAAGTTACAGGTTTAATGTTAAGGTTATGCATTTGTTGTGAAGGCTACGCGTTGGTTGTGAATGTTACGTGTTGGTTTTAAAGGTTATGATTTGGTTGTGAAGAATACGCGTTGGTTATGAAGGTATTACGAGTTGGTTATTAAGATTATAGGTTGCTTGTTAAGATTACGCGTTGGTTGTGAAGATTTCAAGTTGGTTGTTAAGGTTACACGTTGGTTGTTAAGGTTACAGGTTGGTTGTGAAAGTTACGGGTTGATTGTTAAGGTTATGGGTTGGTTGTGAAGGTTATGGGTTTGGTTGTGAAGGTTACGGGTTGTTTGTGAAGGCCTTACGGGTTGGTTGTGAAGTTTGTTCAATATCCTTTTCTTTAATGTTACTACAGTAATTTTATTATTTTCTTCAGTAATTGAACCGTTGTTTATAAGTTATAGTAAAAACATTTTTGTGCCAAAATAAAGTTCATAGAAAGAGGAGAGAAAATAGAACTACAGAAAGAGTAAAGATTAGAGAACAATTTTCAGCAGGCCCATGCTATAAGAATAAAACACATCAAAAAAGAAACTAAAACATATTTTATTCTAGGAAAATTGCAAAACGTATTTTATTTCTTGTACAATATTATGCTAAAAGCAATCATAAAGAAACTAACACAATATTATGCTAAAAGCAATCATAAAGAAACTAAAACATATTTTCTTTTAGAAATAATGTGAAGGTTTACATGTTGGTTGTGAAGGTTATGAGTTGGTTGTTAAGGATAAACATTAGTTGTGAAGGTTACTCGTTGGTTGTGATGTTAACATTCACAATCAACTCCTTACCAAGGTTCACAATCAACCCGTAACCTTCACAACCAACTCGCAAGCTTAACAATCAACCAATAATCTCTATAACCAATCCGTAACCTTAACAACTAACACATAACCTTCACAACTAACGTGTAACCTTCACAACCAACGCGTAATATTAACAATCAACCGTAACCTTCACAACCAATCCTTAACAGTCAATCATAACCTTCACAACCAACCCGTAACATTCACAACCAACGAGTAACCTTAACAATCAACCCGTAACCATCACAACTAACCTGTTAACTTCACAAACAACCCGTAAGACCTTACAAACAATCCGTAACTTTCACAACCAACTCGTAACCTTAACAACCAACCCGTAACCTTCACAACCAACCCGTAATCTTAACAACCAACGCGTAATATTAACAACCAACGCATAATCTTCACAACCAACGCATAATCTTAACAAACAAACCCGTAACCTTAACAAGCAACCTGTAACACCTTCACAACCAACGCGTATCCTTCACAACCAACCCGTAACACCTTCACAATCAACCCGTAAGACCTTCACAACCAACGTGTATCCTTCACAACCAACGCGTAATCTTCACAACCAACACGTATCCTTCACAACCAACATGTAACACTTTTACTACCGATGCGTATCATTCACAACCAACCCGTAACATTCACAACCAAACCGTAACCTTAGCAATCAACTTGTAACCTTCACAACCAACCCGTAACATTACCCATAACCTTTACAGCCAACGCATAATATTAACAAACAACCCGTAACCAAGCAACCCGTAACACCTTCAAAACCAACGCGTATCATTCACAACCAACACGTATCCTTCACAACCAATCCGTAACACCTTCACAACCGACGCATATCCTTCACAACCAACGCATAAATCTTCACAGCCAACGTGTATCCTTCATAACCAACCCGTAACACCTTCACTACCGACGCGTATCATTCACAACCAATCCGTAACCTTCATAACCAACCTGTAACCTTAATAATTAACTTGTAACATTCACAATCAACTCGTAACTGAGCCTAACAACCACCCCCAACTTATCCCAAACAGCAATATATCATCAATTGAATCATTTTGGATGAGAAAACCATCTTAGATGATTTCATAATCTTCTAATAAGAAACATAGGAATTAGTATGACCCGATCTAAAAATAAGAAAATTAAAAAAAAAAAACAACCCGTGAAGAAACTCCATCCAGTTCTAGCGATATAGTGAGGGGGGCGACTTCACCTTTTATTCTAACTTCAAAACTCATAGCAAAACATATAAAAGTAGTAACTAACTTTTTATTCATTGATTATCCATCATTACAAGATAAAAGCGACACAAAAAAATTAACACTAAATACTTAAGCACCCCAGCATCCATAGATCTCCACACCCTGCATCAACAGCGAATAAAAAAATCACAAAAAATCAACAAAAAGACTTTAAAAAACAAAGAACTTTCGGCCACAGATCGATCGATGGATTGCCTAATCGCTATCGCTGCTGCTGCTGCTCCCGTCGTTGTGACCCTTCCCGTCCTCGCTGTGCTTCTTCTTCTTCTCCTTCTTCTCTCTGTCGTGCTTCTTCTCGTCGTCGTCGCCGTGGATCTTGTCCATCACGCTACCACCTTCACCGTGCTTCTTGATCTCCTCGGGCTTCTTCTCCTCGACTTTGTGGTACTTTTCTTCCTCCTTCTTGTGGTCGGCTCCTGCTCCCATTCCCAATTTCTCCTCGATCTTGTGAAGTTGGGGGCAGTTCATCACAAATAAAAAAAGAGAAAGAGAGAAATGGTATTATGATCTTTACATGTTAAAAATTTTTAGCTTTTGTGTTTTGGGGGCTCAATGAATTACGAGTTTACTTTTGGGGGGTTTTGGAGCGTTGAAAAAGTCTTGGAGGTGGGTGAAACACTTGGACTCGTTTTAGGGGCTAGAGTCAATTTTCCATTATCTTTAAAACAATGAGATTTGCAATCAAGAGCATTGAGAATAATGAGTATCCTTGTTGTATGAGTGGATTTCCTCATGTACAAAGATGTGGTTCAATATCCACCCAGTGAATAAATAGGGAGAGGGAAACTTTTATCACCATACTCAGTTCATGTTGAGCCGGCCAATATGAGAAAATCCTCTCACATGATAAATGATAATAATTAACTTGATTTAACATATTCTACTTCTTACCTTATTAAAATATAATTAGATATTTTCTTGATGACATAGAGCCGATTGGTCAGAGCGCCAGAGACTTGAGGAGCAAAGTTAAAGTTTGAGCCCTCCTCACAGAAGTAAATCGGGGGCATGAGTCCAACCTTTATTCAGTCTAGCTCTACGTAACTAAGTAGAATTTAAATCTAAGGTTATAATCGTAATATTAGAACCTCCTTAAGATCTGGGTGAGCCGCGGGGATAATAAATTAGAGTTTTTTTTTATAAAAGGATAATAAAATTAAAATAATGTTAGGGGCACACCCCCTAACACACCACCAACCATACCCCCTTTCCCATCGCTACAGTAAACCGGGCCCCATATGGGATTTTAAAAATTTTAAAATCCCATGTGAGGCCCGGTTTACTGTAACGATGGGAGAGGGGGGTGTGGTTGATAGTGTGGTAGGGGATGTGCTCCTAACACCACTCATAAAATTAGATGTTATACAACAACTTCATTGAAAGAGAAGTACGAGTCATAATCAACTACGAAACTGATCCATTTAAAATAAGCTTGCGTGACCTGTGAACCGACAGTTTCTTATGTAAAAGTTGACATTGTGCAAGGGCTCACGTGTAATTATGCATCTTCGAAGAGAACAGGTCCGCCTTCACCGTACGACGTGCTCACGAGAGGAAACAGTTTACTCCGAAGACCCCATTGACTCCTTGGACGATTGTGATTAAATTTGGAGAATGTGAACTTAGCATGTGTTTTTTTATTTTTGTTTTCTTTTTTCTTTTTAGAAAGCAAGAGAATAATTATAATAAAATAACCTGTTTAGATTATTATTCTTCTTTTAATAATGACAAGAATACGAAAATCGGGCATGGTGCTTTTGGGAACCGATGAAGATGTTTCCTCGTTGTTGTTGGTTTTATTGGCAAAATTTGAAACGAAAAAGGGTGTATTATGTAATAAAATAAGTTGGACCAAGGACATGGCATTGGTCAGTGACAGTGCTGACTCAGCTTTTGGGCCTGGGCTCGGCTCTTTGAGTTGGGACCTTGGAAAGGGCTACAGCTACTGCTTGGCTGTAGCTCATAGCCAAGTCGATTACTTATTAAGTACAATTCAAATAAATAGTACGTTTTTATTTGCTAGTTGGTACATAAAAGTTTTGGGGTATCAATGATTCAAACCTTGGGCTTTGAAATTTCAACAAAGTTCAAAATTTTAAAGGCCAAATTTTGGCCTAAGAAAACTAGGCGAATTGTGGCCCAAATGTTTGCTAAGCACAAAAGCATTCAAACTGAGACATATTTGAACTTGTGCCAGCTTTGAAAGATCGCCAAACACAGCTTAAAGGTGTGTTTCGCAACCAACAAAAATTTAAACTTGGTCTTGTTTTGAGATGAAATGTATTCGGAAAAAACTAGAACAATTTTTCTGAGGCCTAAAAAGGCCTCTTAAGCTGGTTCTTTTTTATCCAATCTGCCGTGCATTAAAAAAAAAACTAATTCTTTCTCAAAGCAGGGCTAAGATTAGTCTTGAGCCCAGTAAACTAACATGATAAGTGGGCCGCACAAATGGAGTATGGGGCTCTTTGTGTAGAGCCCACTACGCACGATAAATCAAAGAAGAAAAGATCAGCACAAGACGGAAAAGAAGAGTCCAAAGAAACGGGTTCGGAGGCCGTCCATCCCAACCTCACCCGTAACGGATCCGACCCGATGAAGTTTGGCCTAACAACATGACGCTGTTCACGTTGAGCAGCGAACTACGAAGGAGGGGGGAAAACAAAGCAGCGGTGGGTTCGCAAATACGTGCATCTATCTTTTCATGGGAAAAAGGAGATTAGTCTCTTCTTATGCTCTTTCTTTGTCTTCTAATAATGTGCACGTTTTTTCTTGTTCAGCGATCAGCGCATAAGCTCTTTTCTTTTTGCGCTCCAACTGTTTGCTGAAATGACTGAAAGAATTTATTAACCCAGAGTCGCGCTCTTTATGGATGCTGAGGTAAGCATCATCATTGGCAGTTGATGATGGGCGATGGGGAAGGTAATGTAAAATTCCGCAAGTCATCATTTTACTTTTTGGTGATAATAGGTTCCTATAATTGATACCGTGACATTTCTTTGTGGTTATTTAGGGTGTGTTTGTTTCCCTAAAAAAGTGGGAAATCAAAGAAATGGAAAACTATTTCTAAGAAGAATTGTTTTGGGAGTGTTTGGTTTGCTAAAAACAGAAGAAAATCAAAGAAATGGAGATAAGATGAGATGAGTTGTCACTGTTGGATAGGATTCACGTGAAAAGATAAGACTTTGGGTTCAAAGCAAAGGCCAGTGGACATTTGAGTTTGTTGGATAGGATTCACGTGAAAAGATAAGACTTTGGGTTCAAAGCAAAGGCCAGTGGACATTTGAGTTCTCCACATCGTTTTCCGCGTTTAGATGTGCATTAGCCTTTTCCTCTGCATGAAGTTTTTTCCGCGTGTTGCTCCCTATAAATACATATTCCTAGGGTTTTTTCTTTTTTTAGTGAGAAAGAGGGGGTGCAAAGGACGACGCCGGCAGATGCGAAGTTTCGGCGGCTGTGCAAAGGAAGAAAGTTTTTTTTGTCTTGGGCTACGTGCAACAAGAAGACAGAGGCTTCGTGAAGAGAGAAAAAGTATTTGAAGGCTGACCTTTTCTTGAGAAGAAAAGCAAGGAGCCTATTTGAGGGTTTAGATTGTGAGAGTTGTAAACCCATTGTATTCTTTTTCTCTATAATAGTAGATCCCCCCTCCTTGCCCCGTGGACGTAGGCAGTTTGCCGAACCACGTAAAATTGGTTGTTTGAGTTTGTGGCCCCATTGTAATAATTTTTAGGATCCCTCGATAAGTCAGTCCTAGAACTGATGAGAGGAAGAGCCGATATCTCACTTGGTTGAGATATCCGCTTCAGATTCTTGTCTCCTTGGTGAGACGGGAATTCTTATTGATCTTTCTCTCTTATTGTGCACCAGAAACTCTGCCGAAATTTCCGCTGCGTACAACAGTCACATTATTATAGGATGATGTGAGTGATTTTTTAAGAAAACTTATTTTGATGTTGTTTGGTTGGCGAAAAAAATAAGGAAATGAATTATAAGAAATCTATTTCTTGTAATAGGTTGTTTTCTTTTGTTTGGTTCATTTTTAAAAATAAAAAAAATAGATGAGATAGGATGAGTTATCATTATATTATTGGATGATGTGACCCACACTTAAGGAAATTATTTTCTTAGTTTTTCGGGAGAAAATGGGTGGAAATAAAATGTTAATGAGATGAGATATGTTGTTATCATCTTATTGGATGATGTGAGTGATTTGAAATGATAAGATGAGTTGAGTTGAGTGATGTTGTGGATGAAAATAATATTTTATTAGATATGGTGGATGAGTTGTTGGATGAAAATAATATTTTATTAGATATGGTGGATGAGTTGTTGGATGAAAATAATATTTTATTAGATATGGTGAATGTGGTGGATGAGTTGTTAGATAAAAATAATATTTTATTAGATATGGTGGATGAGTTGTTGGATAAAAATAATATTTCATTAGATATTGTGGGTGGGTTTTAGGGATGGAAATGGATGAAATTGTACTTTTTGAGTTTTCTTGGTCGCAAGAGGGAAGGGTCCAAACCGAAAGAATTGGAAGTCACAGTCTAGAGTAGGAAAAGATCAGTGTGCTTGGTGCAAGGAGACTGGTCATTGGAAGAAAGACTGCCCAAAGCTCGACGAATGGATGAAGAATAAGCAGAAGGGAAAAGGGAAGCAACCATCATCAGAAGCAAACATCGTATCGGATGGTAATAATTCTGACTCTTCTATTTATTCGCTTTCTATCAGTCCTACAGATAGCTATTCGGAGGAATCTGAATGGATGTTGGATAGTGGTGCGACCTATCATGTGTGCCCTAGAAGGGAATGGTTCTCCAGTTTTGAGAAGCTGGTGGATAGTGGTGTGGTGTACATGGCTGATAACCGTGCATGCCAGATCCTTGGGATAGGAAGAATTCGCATAAAGATGTTTGACGGGACTGTTAGAGAGTTAAACGATGTGAGATATGTTCCTTCTTTGAGAAAGAACTTGTCTCGATTGGAGCTTTGGTTGGAGAGGGTCTGAAGGTTCGTGTTGAGGACATGGTTATTGAGATTGCGAGAGACTCTCGTATTTTGATGAAGGGCGTCAGGAGAAATAACCTGTATTACTTGACTGGAGGTATAGTGGCAGGTGGAGAGCTGACGACTTCTGTTGATTCGACTAGACTATGGTATTTGGGGCTTGGCCATTCCAGTATTGATTCCTCGCATAGATTGAAAGAGGGTGCAAAGACCTGCAGTTTGAAGTCCAGTGAACATGTTGATGTGAGCAAGAAGACCGAGGTGAAGTGTGGCACCTCTATTCACCGTGCTAAGGGTCGTTCTGGAGGAGTTCACGTGGATGTTTGGGGGCCTTCCAAGGGGGCATCATTGGGAGGTAATAGGCGTTTGGTTTCCTTTGTTGGTGGCTGTTCTAGGCGTGTTTGGGTTGCAACCAAATCCCCTTTGGAGAAAGTCCTAGTAGTATCCAACAGATTGAA